CGGACCACCTTATTGCCTTCTCCCAAGATGGTCGTGGGCATTATTTTATTTCGGGAGAAAGGATCTCTACTGAGAGCTTTAGTTTATATTCGACATATCTTTCGAAATATTTCCGATGTGGGACTAAACATTTTCATCTGTTTCAGTGCAGCCATCTAGAGCGCAGTGTAATCTAGTAGTATGCAGAGAGCTATGTCATCCTATTAGCTTGCTTATGCAGCTAGCAAACCACCACGATACCAGATGCAAAGTAATTCATTAGCGGTTTGCAAATTCGATGCCACTCAGCACACACGTGGCCTTAAAGGCTGATCCGATGGCTATGGAGGTGCCACAGTACCGCAACTTAAGTTCCCGATTGATAGCAGTTCGCGGTAGGTTGATCTTGCATCGCTTAGAGCGTAACGTGACCAAGCTTATTTGATCTAGTAGCTCGCAAAGCACCACGATAGTAGGAACTTAAGTTCTCACATGTATCACCATTAAGGATATAAAGATAATAATTGATTATTGTCTGATAAAATAAATATTATTGATTATCTTTAAAGTTCTGACAGTAGTTGCGAATACAACAATCCGTTCTTCCTTTCTTTTGTGCGATTGATATCTCCGACGATCGGCAAACTTCTTCTTTCCTCCCTCGACTGCACTCAAGCTTCGGTGAGTGGTCAGCTCTTCCCTTCTCCCCCAAACGACAGTGATAGCATGGTCGACCCCTCTTTTGGCGGATCTCTCCGACAAGCGGCGCAGTGCTTCCGGATGATACTTTTGCGACTTTCAGTGTGGTGTGGCACAACTAGACGAAACCAAGCCACCACATTGTCCAATTGCCTAGGAGGCAAACTAAATTTGGGCAATGATTTATTTCCTATTTTCAGTATTTACTTACCTACTTTTGTCATTTATTTACATTTTAGAATAAGTTCTTTCCATTTCATGCATGTTTCGATTGAAATGAGTAGAAAACTTGATGAATGATCTTCATTCTTCTTCTAAATCCTTCGAAACTCATCTAAGATTAAGCTAAGATCATTTTCAACTTATTTTATATTAATTTTTGTAGTCAAATCTCGACGTATTCATGTTCTCGGTGTTCCACGAATAATGAGTATTTTTTTATTTTCGAATACAAAATCATCAAGATTAAATGCTGATTAATGAACATTTAATGATTAAAACAAGCTGGAGACATTCACAATTGACCTCATGTCATATGTGTGAATCCTCAAGCACACATTCATCCAAAAAAATAAGTTGATGGTATTTCTCTCTTTCTTCATTCTCGTCTTATCTCTTTCTCTTCCTTTCGCGAGAGATCTTGTCCCTTCTCTCTCTCGTAGGAGCTTTCTCTCCTTCTCTCTCTTTCTCTCCCTTTCGTGAGAGATCTCGTCCCTTCTCTCTCTCGTGAGAGCTTTCTCTCTTCCTCTTTCTTTCTCTCCCTTTTGCAAGAGATCTCATCCCTTCTCTCTCTCGTGAGAGTTCTCTCTTCTTTTTCCCTTTTCTTTCTTCCTTTTCTCCACTTCCCTTTCTTAATTCTTCTCACCTCACCCTTCTACTTTATTATTTTTGTTAAATATTAATAAAATATTTAAATCACTTTATATATAAATTAAATTAGTTTTCATGACAGATTAATCAATCTCCCTGTGTTCAACCTGAGACTTACTTCTATACTAATATTTTATTAAGTCTTAGTTATAAATATTATTAGATAGTGTGCATTTAAACACAATGACAAGTGCACACTAATAAGCTTAATTTGATGGATTCACATATTATAGATTTTTAAATAGATGAAATTACTACTTTCTTAATATTTTAAATGTAAATAACATAATAAGTAACTAAAATTAAAAAACTCTAGTTAAAATCTTGAAATAACTTTGAAACATCTATATCATGCTATAAAAATTACATATGTTTAATTTTATAGAAAAACATTATGGAAGACTATGGCCAAAACATTATGGCCACTTTGAAAAAGGGGAATTGAAAATTCAATAGGAATGGGGATAGACCAAGTTAAAGTGAAAAAATATACATATCATCCTATATGTCAGCATGCTCACATGTATTTTTCAGGGGAATTATCTGTATCAAACTAGATATAAATCAGGCTTTTAGTTTGGCAAGTGTACAAAAGATTCTAAGAAAAGTGCACTACTACAAATAGAACAAGGCTTTGCTCCATTTGGAGGGAAGAAGAGCATTAGACTACCACTGCAAAAGGATATTATTCTTAATGCTAATGTGGGGTGTGCAAACATAGATTATTTAGAGGCTTTTGAAAAATCAAGTTCATCTATTGAATATCTCTTTGCACTCATAGATGACTGTTTGATCTTGAATGGGGATAAACAGTTATGAATGAAATAGCCTAATTGGACTAATCCTTTGTGGACAATTGAAGTCCAAGTACTGCCCAAAAGGAGCCACACCATCTAGGAGATTAGTAACCACTAGGAAAGAGAGCATTTGGTTTCCCTCTAGACTTGAACATGCTCTTGTGTGGAATCTTCTTTGGTGCTGAGCTTATTATGGTAGGCATTATTAGGGGGAAGAAAAGAGAGAATATGTGAAGCATCATATCACCATGAATGTAAGTAAGATAGGTTTAGAACCATGAAAATATCTATGATACTTTCTATGATTCTATTTGTGAGTGATGTGTTTGGATCTTATTGTTTTTTCATTTTTTTTCATGTTATACTTTTGTTCAAACATTTGAGTGCAATCCTCAACACCCGTCAAGTTATCTACTCTCCCTCCCTCTTAAACCGCTTGCCTCTCTACTCTCCTCATACAAAACATGATATTTTATGTCTTACATTGAGTGATTTCTTGGGGTATAGCTTTGTGGAACGGCCATAAAGATCTCATGACTCAACATCATAGAAGATAAAAACAAACCCATTCCATAGATCTTTGTAAGTGTGCAATAGTGAATCTACTAGGTTCTGACATATTGATGTGTAATATTAATAAAAAATGATAACACTTCCGCTATGGATATATGGTTAATTAAGAAGATCCCTCCACTTATTTGTTATGTGGAGATTGCCCCTCGTCAACCATGCAAACCAAGTAAGGTTTGGGATACCTTTAGATAACTCTCTCCCTCTCTCTCTCTCTCTCTCTCTCTCTCTCTCTCTCTCTCTCTCTCTCTCTCTCTCTCTCTCTCTCTCTCTCTCTCTCTCTCTGCTTTGTTTGTAGCCTCTATTGATACTTTATTGTGTTGTTTATACGAAGATAATCAGAGAATAATTATCATAACACTCAACATACGAGCTCTAATACTCTGTTTTTTTTCTAGTTGGTGATTCTCTTCCTAAGAGCAGGAGCTTGTTTTGCTGAATTGGGACCACACACTAAGCTCAATACTCTACATCTTATTACAGATCGCCAGAACCTAGTAGATTCACTATCTCATCCGTCGATTTTGGAGTCTACGGGCAAAATCAGTTCTTATTAAAAAATATGAAGATTTTAAAAATAGAACTCAAGTATCAACAGATGCCCGGAGGACAGTAGTGGGAGGGAATGGTCCTCATTCCCTACATGGGAAGCTCAGGAGGAAGCCCGGTGGGCCATCGCCCCCTGCTCTTCCCCACCGTCAGAGGCGGTCTTGCTCCTCCCCTCCTGCCCCCACGATGGATGGAGCTCGCCTCCGGCTCTCGTGGGTTTTTCTCGAGTGTCCCCCTTGCCGTCCCCATCGCACCCCCGGTCACATCGGAGGAGGGAGATGGTTAACAGAGGGAGGGAGAGAGAGGGTAAGGGTGAAGGAAGAAGAGAGGAGGAAGGAGGGAGGCGGAAGCCTCCTCTTTCTTTAGTTGCTCTGCCGATGTAGGTGCGTTTCTTCCGGGTTCCTTTCATGGCTTCTCCTTCCCCTCTCTCCTTCTCCAGAAAGCCATGGGGACTTCTGTGTCCTACGTGGGATTTCTCTTCTCTCTCCTCTCCTTCTCGGAAACCAGATTACTCTTCCCCCACAGTGATTCGGACGCCCCCTTTCCTTACTTCCTTCCCACGGTATATCCCCAATGCTCCTCCCGAGCCAAAATTCCCTTCTCTTTTTATGTCATAAATTCTCGAAATGTCTTCTCCGATTCGACTGTTGACGCCGCTGATAGGTTCCCGATTGCATAGATCATCGGTCTGCTCTAAAGCCCATTCTTGTTCATGTGTTTATCGATTTCGGATAGAATGAGATTCTTCTCAATTCCTTCCTCTCTCCCAGTTAACTGAAGTCGAACTCGGTTCTGCCATCAAATTTATTGTCTTCGTATCCTCTTCTGTTGGTGTTGAAGCAGAGGACCATAATCATGAGATAATCTTTGGATGGACTATTTTCTGGTTCTCCTCTTTTTCCCTTGCCCGGGATCCTATCTCCGAAAATTGATCAGGGAATGTGATAACACTCCTGGAAAGTATGCCTAATTTTCTATCAAATCTCTTATCCATGATCTTTTCTGTAGGAATTGACCACGGAATGAGATACTTCTTTCAAATTTCCAGTCATCTGTCCGATCTTCTTCTCGTCGAGGCCCCGTTTGCACAAGTTGATCGCAGCTGTGGAGATTCTCTAGTCAAATATTTCTAATTTACTCTGTCTAATATTTTTCCCATGATCCGATTCCTAACAGAAGGGAATAATATCTTAACGAAGTTTTCTCAAATTTTCGTCCAAGCTCCGGACCTCGATCCTGCTTGTAAGAACTGTGTGGATTGGGATTTTCCTATATTTATCTGTGCGTCCCTCTTTCCCATGGCTCCATTTTTAGATCTTTTTCGTGAGGTGAGATCCTGTCTTGATAAAATATCTCCAATTCTCTGTCTAATCTCTTCCCCCATTGATTTCTTCTTTAGAAATTGATCACGAGGGGAGATACTGCTCTGATGAGGTGTTTCTAACTCTGTCTCGTGTTCCCCCCATCTTCTTACCCGTTTGCAGATGCTGATCATGGAATGAGCGAGTCACTGTTTCCCTGGTCGGAGTATGGATGATGACCCCATGTCCTCCCACGCTCTTCTCCCTTCCCCAGCTTCTCTCAGGAAACCCACAAGGTAGAGCGGTCCTTCTCGCCTCTCTCTCTCTCTCTCTCTCTCTCTCTCTCTCTCATCATCATCATCATCATCATCATCATCTCATCAGCTGCAGTGTTGGCAGGGCGGAGGATGAGCTTGTGGAGCTGCTATGGCAGAACGGCCAGGTGTTCATGCTCAGTCAGACGCATCGGGAGGCTGTCGGGAGGCCATGTCAGAAGCCCGAGTCAGCTCCGAGGTGTGTAGAGCCGTTGGATCCCCTGCCCCATCCAGCAAGGAATGAGGATGCCTCACCATGGGTTCAGTACCTGATCGACGATCCCCTGATGAGGGACTTCTACCTTGACTTCTTCCACGGGCTGCCAGCTGCCGAGTCCACGGAGGCCCGGATTGCTGTGGAGCCGACAAGTGGCCACTTTCTGGAGAAGGAAGGGGCAGAGTTCGGGCGGGACCAAGGAGGCAGGGAGGAGTCGTCACCCTTGGCGGCCTCCAAATGGTCCGACATCCATGGTAGCTGCAGTAGTTCTGTGAAGGTCCCCTCAGCAAAAGGTGCAGACGACTCTCAGGCTGGGTTTAGTTACAGTGAGATTCAAGAAGCTGGCATTGCTTCCACTTCGGATGGGTCTGCATTGAGCCTTAGAGTGGACGACTGGCGGAGCACCGACACAGGGAATTATAAGAAGAGGAAGCGGAAGGATGTTGATGAATCTCAGTGCCAGAATGAGGTCAGGTCCTCTGGCTCCCCTTCTCTCTCCCTCCCTTCCTCTGTTTGATGTGCTGGGCTTCTTCTCAGCCCTCGTTTTCGCAGGAAACTGAGGATGAGTCAGTGGAGGCGACCAGGCCCTGTCGGAGGTCTGTGCCGGCCCGACGGGCCCGTGCTGCTCAAGTCCATAATCTCTCGGAGAGGGTAGGTGGAAAACGTTGAACCCACTTGGGATTCCAATTGTAGTAGCCACTTTAGACCACCATCTCACTCTAACACACACACACACACCCACTCTATTTATCTATCTATCTCCTTCTATCTAGAGACGGAGAGATAGAATCAATGAGAAGATGAGGGCACTGCAGGAGCTTATCCCACACTGCAACAAGGTACTGTCTCTCTTTGCTTCCCCTGCCAATAGACAGGCTCTGGGATAACTCCAGGTACAATGCTGGAACTCCTCAGACGGACAAGGTGTCAATGCTGGATGAAGCCATCGAGTACCTGAAATCACTCCAGTTGCAAGTACAGGTCCAGGGCCTCCTGTTGCTCTTCAGATCTAATTTGTCAATCCACTCCCTAATTTTCTTTTTCTAAAAACAGTTGATGCGTTTTTATGGGCAGATAATGCTGATGGGCGGCGGGATCACTCCGATGATGTTCCTGGGCCTTCAACACCTCGTGCCACCAATCGGGATGGTAATGAGCCGGGGGCTCATGCCAACTTTTACCCCGCCGATTCAACTTCCAAGGGTTCCATTGGCGAACCAGCCCATGCCCCCAGGTCTCACCATGAACCGCTCAGCTGGGTTTCCCCTGCCACCCCTAAATATGGCAAATTTCCCCAGCCACTCTCTGTCGTATCCTGCGTATCTTGCATTCCAGCATCTACAGCCATCACCTCAGGTTAATAGTCAAAGCTGCTCTTCTTCCCTGTTTTCTTGATCTCCTTTGATTTCTTCCCTTTTATCTTTTTTTTTTTTTTTGGGGTGGGGGGGGTGGGGGGGGGCAGGTGATGAATTTATATGGGTATGGGTCCAAGTTGATGGAAGGGAGTCAGATGCTGCCCATGGCCGTCAGCAGCGAGGGTGGCAGCAGTGCTGCCCTGCCTGAAAATTTTCCAAATCTTAGACCATGTGAGATGCCCTCATTGTCTCCTTATTTATGATATGATATCCTCCCAAAGGCTGGGCCTTTTCTTTTTTATGAAAAAGTTACTCTGTATTCTACTTTCATGGACGTACAGGTTGAGGTGGAAGATCCTTTGCTCATCCTAATGGAGCTCACCAACCTTCCAAGTGCCCCCCTCCGCCTACCCTCTCTCTCTCTCCGATTCTCTCTCTTGATCGCAGAATCTGATTGTAGTCTTGCTATGGATGGCGTGATTGTAATGAACTTACTGACTGCTTTCGGCCGATTGCCGAATTTGGCAGCTGTAGAAGGGGGATTGTGGCTTTTTTTAGGAATGAAACAGTGGGGCTAACCTCATGATATCATCGCCCTTTTTTGTCTATTTTTTGCACGGCTTGATTATTCTCCTAAATAGTTATGATTATTTTCCTTGCATTGGAATGACCTGGAGAGCGTAAGGAAGCAAGCCAGCCAAGTATCTGGGTCAATGCAATTAGTCTAGATTTGGATGTGGGTTATATAGGGCGATTGTTCCCCATTATGGTATACTTCGTTCTATCTCGGTTGGTTTTTACTTTGATCACGTCGTTAATGATCGTAGCTCTGAGCATGCGGCTCATTTTTGTCAGAAGGTCAGCGTGCGCCTTTTTACAATAGTCTCCCAAAAATTTCAACCGGAAGGCACTTTAAATGTCCTCTCTCTCTCTCTCTCTCACACACACACACACACATTTTGCGTGGGGATCGTAGTTAACTTTCTGTGGGTTCATACGCGTCATTGATCTTTTAATGGGAAGAAAGCTTTATTGAACCAAGATGAATTTTTTGCTGGGTATGATGACGTAAGAGAGGGATAATATCTTACATAATGATGCATGTCGAACACAGATTTAAATATTCAGTTATAAGACATAGGTTGGCACGCACGCACTTCCCAATGCCAAACCAAGGAATCATCCACGCCTCACCTTTCGCTTCCAGAAATGGAAATATCTTCGGGCTGGTGCCTGCCTCTCTCATATCTCTACGTCAGATTTCCCTATATTCTATAGTTGGGTCCCATCTGTAAAGGACGCTGGCCGATGCTCTGATGCTCCAATGAAAGGCTGAAAAGCTAGATACTGTTGGAGGCGTGCCCACAGTCCAATTTTCGCCCCCTATCTGCTAGCTAAGCCTCGTGCTCCTATTCGCCATAGCCAGATTTTTCTGTTCCCCACCTATCCTTGACCTCGTCCTCCTCTTTCTCTCTCATCGTGGATTACTGTTCTATCTACACCTGGATGTTTTTATCCCTCGTGGTCTCATTTTGCCAGGCCCATGTCCACTTCACCTCTTTAATGCTTGTTTGGGCCTTCAATCAAGCCAAGTAAGGAAAACCGGTCCAAATCCAACTGCGCTACTCCTAAACAGTATCTAGCTCAGAAGCCCGGATCTTATTTCATTCCTACGCGGTTGTCTCATGATCCACTACGTGATAACCTCTCTCTCTATTTCTCTCTCCTCCACTATAGATAGGATGTATAGAGAAGGCCAGTGTGGCACCCCTAGCTTATCGGATCCAAGTTCTACTGGCGGAACCCCGCCGCCGGCAGGAGGTCGTGTGGTGATCCATGCAGACATGCACAGCGCGCGCGGCGTGCTCGTTGTCGCCGCAGTGGGGCACGGTGAGGCACATAAGGCAAGGGTGGCTCATTGGTGAGGTGCATGCAGGAGGTGTGCACGTTGGCACGCCACGACGCGGTGTGATACGCCGCTGACATAACACAACACGTATAGAGGAGGCTTGCAGAGCACGGCAACATACGTGGAGAGCTCAAGTGGAGTATCCTACCCCAACTTGGAGTGGCTTCGAGGGAGCATCTCATGAATCCTAGAGGATGTTGGTGTGGAGAACTTGGGCGACAGACTCGTGGGGGCCTGCGCCTGGGCGGCGTGGCACAACATATGCACGTACAGCGGGGGTAGGTAAAACGCATGTGATATGCACAATGCGTGGGAGACCAGGTCAAAATGGGGATAACAGTCGATCCGCTGAACTCGCTGAGACCCCGCCGCCAAAAAATGCAGGCTGGTGCCTCATGCGAGTTAGCCATCCCTCTGCCGAATAAGGAAACCACATCCAGTAAGGGAGTGGCCAGGAATGACAAGTTGGGGAAAGCCTTGGGGCAGTTCTCCCCTGTAAATGGTGGACGATCTTGGCCTGTGAGGGAGCCCCACACAGAAGACAGTGCTTGGGTCGGCACCGGGTGAAGAGATCAGGGTAAGGTCGCCTTAACCCTGTGACAGCCTAGGCCAGACCTCTTCGTCTCCGGGGTTGGACTCAGAGCCATGCAACTATCCCTTGGGCCGGTCCAGTCTGCTGATTAGATGGGCCAAACTGGGTGGGCTTGTCGTCTCTTGGCCTGTGAACGTGTTGACTGTCTTGTCGACATGCTCTCTAAGGAAGACTTCAATTTTCTGCTACATGTTTACAATTTATTAAATATTTATTTGATAAATATGGAAAATTAAAATACCTTGACATCACAAAATTTGAATTATTCTTATTTTTTTAATTTTAGGATAAATGAAGCTCAACTAATGGGCTTTTATTACTGGGCCGGAATGACGCCCATGATCTTTCAAGGTAGCTCTCCCCAGGCCCATTTTCGGATCTTAAGATGTGGGCCATTGGAGGACAGGAGCTATAGAGAGAACGCGTCGAGAAGACCGAGGAGAGAGGGAAGGATGTGCCCGATTTAATTTTTCTTTTGTTTTGGCTTCACAGTCAGGCCCATTAAGAAAATAAGCCCATGCCACATATCAGCTCATCTCTCTCTCTCTCTCATCCACCAATACAGAGCTTTTTAGGCAGCCCACCCAACCCCCGACAACACGCCCCACCCGCGGACAGGAGGGGGAGAGAGAGATCCATTGGATCTGGTTAGTCAAACGTCGCGCGGTACACGTTAACGGAAATGTTGTCCTTATCGATCTCTGAACAGGTTCCCGCCTGCCCGCAAAGGCACGGAGACTATTTTTCACATATCCCCCCAGTTATGTGAACAATGACAGGTGGGAGCCTCCCCAAACCATGCAGACGATGACAGCAGATTCTAATCTCGCCGGATTCTGAGGCGGCGGCGAGCGGGAAAGAGAGCCGACGGGGGCGAGATGCCGCCGGAGACGAAGAAGATGACCGGGGTAGGGGGATGACAAGTTAAGAAACATTAGAGGGGGGGGGGTGGTTTCGCCAAACCTGGTAACCTCCCGCCGATCCTCTGTTCACTTATCCTCCATCGTCAAACCTGGGAACCTTCGGCTAAAGAGCACCGGAGTAGTAAGAAAATAGTAGTAGCTTTCTTAAGTTGGGTGGCGATGCCCATTCTTTGAATTTTACATATTCAAAGAAAGACAGAGCGAGAGAGAGAGAGAGAGAGAGAGGAATTCGTCGGCCAGATCGCCCATTTTCCCGGGCATTTTTCGAACCTCACAGACACGGAAATGTAGAGGAAAGGGTCGGCGGGTGTCACGCGTCTGACGTCCACCCCGATGTTATAAGAGACAGAGGATGGGATAGAGAGAGGGAGAGAGGGAGAAAGGGAGAGAGTAAGAGAGAGAGAGAGTAGCCGGACGACAAGGATAGAGTTACCGTGGGGAGGAGAGCATCAGCCAAGGTGAGAGTCACCGGAAGCGGCTGCTGCATCGTCCGCCCGCTGCCTCCGCCGCCGCAACCTGCCATAGCAGAGCAATGAGCATCACAATTGAGGAAAAGAAGCAAAAGGAGGAGTTGCAGAGCGTGACAGCGCAGGGCGACGGAGGAACCGAGCCGGTGACCACCTGCCCCCCCTTTCTCCCGCCATGCCACGTGCTCCGGGAGCGGAGCCTCTCTGGCTTCCCTTTCTTCTCCCTGGGAGGACCGACGAAGAGTAGAGGGAGAGAGAGGGCCCGGGGAGCGCCGCCCACTGTTCGTCGTCGCCGGCGACTGGAAGGAGATCATCGGAGACTTTGAGACTGTTAAGATAATGGAACGTGGAGACTGGCCAGAATGTCTGACCCTCTCTCTTCGAGATCGGTGTTTTGTGCGAAATCTGCGACTGAGGGAGCTGATTCTGGATCGGAGGAAAGATGTTCATCTAGCGAGTATCGTAGAAGCCCGATGTGCAGTTAGTTGATCGCGCGGAAGAAAGAGGGTAAAACAAGAAATGCAATGGGAAATCGAGATCTGATATTTTTTCCGGTCGATCTAGAGAAGTCACCGACGGCAGGAGTGTGATTCAATCTGTAACCCGATCCATTCTAAAGCAGAAGGGAAAATATTAGCGAAGTTAGCAACATTATCAGTGAGATTGCCGATAAACTTTTTCAGATTGAACAAGAACAAACTCTAGAAAACACGGGGTTTCCTAAATAATCACCATTAGACGGGTGAGGGAATGTCTGTACACCAGTCAGCGCCAAGCAAATAAGAACAAAGAAGGAATAAAAGAAGATCAAGAATCAGATTGAGCGTCCGGCAGTAGATTACTGAGATCTCCTATTGCAGCTTCTCGATTTTGCCGCTCCTGCCCCCGGCGTTGCCATTCCTGCTGGCGGCGGAGGAGAAGCCCCCTGCCGGATCCTTCTTCTGCGGAGATGAGAACAGCTGACTGAAGCCGAACACCGATCTGGAGGAGCCCCGCAAGGAGCAGACGGGGACGTTGAGGACGGGCGTTACTCGGACGACGTTTGCGGAGTAGGAACGCTCCATGCCCCGGTGCTTCACCCTCGATCCCCCATTGAAGGTGCTCGGGCTGCTCGTACTCCTCTCCAGGTTGTGGAATACTACCTTCCCGGAGGAGTTCATCCGGGGGGAATCGGCCGGGACCGGCACCGTCTCCCCAGGCATTCTCCTCATGGGGCTCGTCCCGATCCTGCCGCCAGGGGCTGGGGCTGGGGCAGGAGAAACATCGACCCCGGTTCTAGGCTTGGGAGAGAGGCGGACCCGAGGGGGTATACGGCCGAGGGAGTTGGGGATTCTGGTGGACTTCTCCGAGTCGAGGGAGAGGCGGGGTACATCCTCGTGATCCGGGGCTGAGGGCGACGAAGACGAGAGGGAGAGTCGGGAGGAGAGGGAGACAGACTCCAATTCGGAGTCCCCGAGAAGGGGCAAGTTCAGCGAAGGATCGATTGAGGAAGCCTTCCGGTTTCGGTGAAGGAAATGCTTCAGCGACCTCGCGGATCGACTCTTCGAGCCAGTCGCCACCTCCGACGACGATGAGGAGTATCGTTCGCCGTCCTGTCTCGCGCCTCCGCCGATCTGCGCCGCCTTCTTCAAGCGAAGCAGATCCCTCCACCGGCTAGAGCACCTCGGGGGCCCCTTAGAGGAGAACGCCGCCTCCGTCTCCACTCTCCGCAGTTCCAGATGCGGCTCCAGAGACCGAATCTCAACGGCGGATCCTGACGGCGACAAAGGAGTGACCGCCTCCGGCGTCGGCTGCGGCGAGGCACCTTGCAGAGGAACGAGCTTCCCATCCGAGAACAGCTCGTCGGCGGGAAGCATCGTCATCGGATCATCGAGCCGAAGAAACTCGAAATCCACCAGATCCACCGCCTCGACCGCCGTTTCAGCCAGATCTGGAGTTCTTGGAGTCGAAGTGGAGGACTTCGCCGCCGCCGTGGCCTCGTCGTCGTCGGAGAAGCTGCAGACGGAGGAGGCTCTGGGGCTGACCCAGCCGTAGGAGGAGCAATCGGCAGAGGAAGGAGCAAGGTCGAGGAAGCCCTCCGGCGCGACCAGCCCCAATGTGTTCACCACTGCTGATGCCATTCTCCGAGCATCGAACAATCGGCTGTGAGATCTCGCCGGGACGGAACGAGGGTAGAAAGAGTGAGCAGCGCGCGCTTTATAGAGAGTCTCTGGTTTTTCCGCCAGACGACGACAAAACTGCTCCTCTCTCAGGTCCCCTGTACTCGGTCCGGACTGCATCGAGCCTCTGCGTTTCAACTTCCACGGTAGCCGTGCGTGTCCAATACGACAATATCAATCAGCGGGCAAACCAGCGCATTTAAATATTGGAATCGTTGAGTGTGAAGGTAATTTCTAAGCATTTCCGTCCTACATCATCATTCGAAGATGGTGGATTAAGATTCCGCTGTGAGATCAAATGTTCAACAGTTGTGGGTTTTTTCTGTAAATTCACCTTTACACGTGCCTCGATCTCCAATGACGTCGAGCTGCGCGCGCCCCCACATTTCGAATTTTCCCGCACGGCGAGGTCCGAAGCCTCTCCGACGACGTTAGCCCCCACTGTTGGACGGCATTCAAGCTTCCACGTCAGCCAGCTCTCCGCTAGACATAAGGATGCCTCCTCTATCCAAACTTTATCCTTAGCGGCGCCGTCGCTGTCAAAGAAGATGGGGCGGGCGGCGCCGCCCGACCTACGCCGCCGCCACGGTGGATAGAAGATGCAATAATCGGCATTTGACCTAAATTTTTTTTCCATTAAAACCAAAAATAGGTTCAGGAATTAGTTTCTAGCTTAGTTTCGTCTGTGTTTTGTGAGCCCTTTTATGTTCAATAGTTTCTTGAGCTTTGTTGTACAAAAGAACAAGGCCAAGACCATCTCCAAAATAACCACCGTTGTAGTCACCAAAAGTTGGAAACCTTATTTTTCACCTTAAATTATTTCTTTGATATGCAATTAAACTTTACTTGTTCATCTTAGAGTGAGGATAAAAGGGAGACATTCTAGTAAGTGCATCAAAGCCCATAGCCCAATTCAACAAATAGACAACATTCTCACCAAGAAATTCTTTAGACCAATCTTAATCTTAATTGGACCACAACAAATAATCTTCTACACATTAAAGTCATTGGCATATACAAATATTTAGCTATGAAACTTATCAAATGTGGGGCAAGAATTGAATGATTAAAAATGCAAGAACAAGATTTATATAAGAATTTCAAAGTAATTCTCTTGTTATTGGGCTTGGAAGTCAGTAGGCAAAAAATCACCTAAATTGAGGTCACTTTAGAGCCATGCTGTTTAACATTCCATTATTGGTTGTCATATAAATTTGGTTAGAAACTTACATCTATTTACCATGCTCATAGCTTATTTATCAACATTAGAATAATTTTCCAATCACCGACAACAACAATTTGTGGTCATTCATTTGTGTCTTTAAGACTTTTAAAGCCTTCAGTATTTATACATGAATTTCATAATTAATTTCTTTAAAACTATTATTTTTCTTGCTTCAAATTAATTAAATTTTGCACCAACTCTCATATTATTATATATCTATCTCAAAACTTTGTATATAATTGATGTGAGACTAAATCGATAGTCACAACTTCCTAAAAAAAATAATAATTTAATACTTAAAATATCCTTTATTTATGAGAATGAAATACTTTTATGACTTCACTTTATAAGGGTATTCACATATTTATTTCACCCTTCCATGCAGACAAGTGATTGACAAAGGTTTGAATCCTAATAAAGCCAAAATTTATATTTTTATTTGATTACATTATAATTTTTTTATAAATTACCGATGAACAATTGACGATGAACAATTGCTCAAATCATTGGTGAAAATCTCGCCAATGTGATTTGTAAAGTATCATTACTAAAATTACAGAATGATTCTAGATAAAAAGATCGTGAATTCATCGAATAAATTATCTCTAATTGATTGATGAATAATATGTCGACAAAAAGAGGATGATTCACTGGGAGATGAGTCACCATCTCTTGAAGGAGTACTAGATGTGATGAGAATGATAAACTCAATCTCAAAGTTGCGTAGTCGTTGTTTTGTTTTGAGTTTATACAAAATATTTATAATTATTTTTCCTTTACTTATCTATTCTATTATAAAGAGAAGGCAAGTAAGGGGTCAATCTTCATATATAATTGAGATTTATATTCTTAATATCATTTAAGTCTAAAGATAGGTAAAAGTTAAAGAAATAAAACTAAAGCACGAATAATGGAGAAAGAAGAATTGAGAAACTTTTTTAACATCTAATAAGTCTTCATTATCATGAGTTAATAATTAATAAATAATATAATTTTAGCATTAACTCATGATAAATAAACTTATATTTATGTTAAATTATAGAAAATAATTTTCAGTTGATTAATGTAAAATTTTAACTAATTATGTGATTTTATATAAATTTATATAATTTTTGTACTCTTACTTTTGAGATAAATAAAATATATATATATATATATATATATAAAGAGGACCTACTGGCTAGTCGGGCTCACAAACGGGTCGAAAGCGTAGTCAGGGGGAGCCACGAGCAAGGGCTTGAGCGACTATGGACCAATGAAGATATGTGTGCATCACTTCCCTTGACATAGTCACTTCCCTTCTATGTCACCGGTGGCTCGACTGTGGGGCAAAGATTAGTCATACACACAAAAAAGAGACTCATTATTTGTGATAAGTCTAAATTTAAGGGTTTTTATATTAATGTTTTAATTCAGACTTAACCAACAATAAATTTTCCACTTAGTTATACTCTATATCCAACATAGGGCAAATAAGAGGTCGATCCACAAGAAGGCAAGAGTTCAATTTCAGATCTTTTAGTCTTAGAAATGGTAGAAATAGATTTAGAAGTTAGGAATTACTCTTTGGAAGTATTTCAGGAATTTAGAGAACTTAATAGGATTTCTTGGAATTAACCTGTGCAGAAAATACAGCTAATGATTAGAATTTTATTTTGTAGTATTTGTTTCTAATTTTAATTTAGTACTTTCGGTTACGTCCGGAACGGCAGAGAGAGAGAGAGAGAGCGACGGGCACGCAGCGACCGGTAGCGAGCGCACGGCGGCTGGCGATAGGCAGCAGCAATGGTCGGCGGACGTGCGGCGGCTGGCGATGGGCACACAGCGGTGCTTAGCGGATGCACGGCTGCTGGCGATAGGTGGCAGCGGTGGTCAGCGGACGAGAGAGACGAGGAGCTACGGGTATGCAGCGGCCGGCAGCGAGCGCACGGTGGCTGGCGATAGGCGGCAGCAGACGGAGCGACGGGAAGACAGCGGAAACAGAAGGAGGCTGCGGGAGAAGGCGGAGGGAGAAGGAACGATGGGCAAAAACAGAGAGAAACGTGGAGCAGCTGGAGGGGGCAGAACGGAAGACAGAGCGATGGGAAACAGCAGAAAAAAAAGGAGGGTTCAGAGGTATAACGAGAAGATTGGTGCTGATGTTTTTCCTTTAAGCCCTCAAGACTTCTTCCTCCTCTTGGATCCTTATATTCCGCCAGGAGCAGGCATTTTTCACTGCAAGAAGGGGAAGAACAAGAGTGAACGCTTCAAAACGACTTACATCTATCAAGGTGGATACCCCGGGTCCTGGAGAATGCCCTGTCCTGCTGGCTAGCCACTGCTAGAGCACGTCCAGAATAGGGCGGGAAAGAGAGAGGAAGAGAGTATTTATACAAGGGCAAGCATGACTAAAATGCCCCTTCATAATTTCCTAATTTCTCTCCATGAATTTCTACATCGCTTCCTCCGTGGATTTAGGCAGGTCTAAATGGGCCTGGACATGGCCCCAGAACCTCCTTTAATTTCTCTTTGAAGCTCCAAATCCAAAATTCCTCCAAAGTACTGCTAGCCCATTAAGCTAACTTTCATCTAGTAAAGTGTTCTTAATTTATTGTTGATTTCTGTTAAATTCTGCACGCATGAAAACTTGAAAATGTTTATTAGTAATAAAACTGTTTGACTTCATAGAAGTCAAGCAGGCTTAGTCAAAATCATGCAAAATTCATGCATAATGTGTAAATAATGAAATTAATGTAAATCTAGAAATATTTAAATCATTCTATTAATAACATGATATTTTCTAGATTTAAATGAACAAAAACCACATAAAATATAAAGAATAATCAACACAAATATCATGTTATCAGCTTGTAAATCTGATATTATTATATATTCGTCCAAAACTTCGGCATACAACTTATGTGGGACTAAAATGATTTCGTTTATTTTAATACCTTCGGCGTCCAAAACTTCGGCATCTAAAACTTTGGCGTCCAAAACCCACGTCACACCTTTCCTAGAATGATTTCGTTTATTTTAATACCTAAAATTCTCGTTAGTTATAATAGAGATATATCATGATAACGTCACTTTATAAGGGTATTAGAATACTTATTTCAATATCTCCCATGTAGATAGGTGACCAGTGCGAGTTCGAATTCTACTAGAGCCAAAACTCATATTTTTATCTGATTAAATCACGACTTTTCTGCAGATCATCAGTGAAGGATTAAGTTGCTAGAATCACTTGATCATCGGTGAAAATCTAGTCGATATGATTTGCAGAGTATTATTACTAAAATTATTAAATGATTCACAATAAAATGATCACAAATCTATCAAGTAAAGCATCTCTAATTAATCGACGAACAAGTTATTGTTAAGAAGAGGACGATCCACTAGGAGACGAGTTGTTACCTCCGAGAGCATACCAGATATGATGAAGAGCCTCCTCTTGCTGCACGGATTTGAGGATGATGCTCCTTGAAACGTGCCCCACCTCCATCTAGCTCCTTTTCGTTGGATGACAACCACTAGAGAACCGCAAAGTTGCTATTTTTTTGTTCTGTCGAGTGATAGACGTTGAAGACGATTCAACAACCTATTTCATAGATCTCTAGACTTCACAAGAAGATCTAGAGATTGCCCACGTCATCCTTGTCTAAGGAAAGCCTTCAAGGTCATAGACACTACACGATAATCTTCTCGAATGCTCAAGATTCCGGTGCATCATCGACACATTACTGCCATGATGTCAGAACTTAATTTTAACTTAATTTTCACTTCATTTAGTGATAATTTATGTGATTTAAATTTATCAAACTATTTTTCATTCAATTATGATTCTTTTAGCTTTTATAGATCTTAATTTGATCAATTAAATCATCTGTAATTACTTACATAAGAATCACCAGGTGGAACTCTATTTTCGTCAAATTCTCATTCGTCAGGGGCTGACATCATCTTAACCTCCGTGCCCTTATTTTCCTTTTTCGTGAATTTTAAATATATTTTATTTTTATTTATTTATCAAAAAATTATAAAAAGTCATATTCTTTGAATTTTTTTTGAAAAATTACCCAATATTATGTTACATCCTTGAGATCGACCTGAAAAATTTTCACTATTTGTGGAACTTTTACTGAATTATAATTGATATATTTGTTCAGAAATACTTCTAAATATCCAAAAAATGATATTGTCTAATTTTATAAATTTTAAATTTGCATGATTTACTATACAATGATTAAGTCACGTAAAATTTTGACACCATTTCTAGGGTTGTATTACATAATATTCAGTATTTTTCTATTTCTCTCTTAGAGTACACAAAAAAAATTAACACTTGTTTCTATTTTCTTCTTGTATAAAAAAAAAGAAAAAAAGAACAAAGAGCAGTAATGCAAGGATTAGAGCATACTGAAGGAGGGTAACAATTAGTAAACTTTTTACTCAAATTTATTGATTTTTATGTATGATAGAAGATCCTTACATCTAAGGCTAGAAAATCTTTTCACTATTTTATTCAAAACTAAAAATTCAAAAGAAAAATCAATTTTCATGAATCCTAAAGGAAGTACGGATTAAACTGAGAACAATCCTATCGCCATGAAAAATCATTATATCCTTGATTCATTTCAAAGAGCGTCCGATATTAGAGTTCCATTAACACCCATTGTTAAATTCAAAATAAAAAATCCAAATTTTTTCTAAATACTTCTTAATTTTCATGGATTGTCTTTAGAGGAACTTCATCAGCATTTAGAAAAATTTCATATGATCTGTGATTTAGTTAATTTCTCTAAAGTTACACTAAAAATGATTAAGATGAAATTATTTTCTCATACACTTATGGACAAAGTTAGTTATTGGCTATCCACATTAAATAGAAAATTAACTAGTTGGAAAGACATAGAGCATGTCTTTCTTCAAAAAATTTACCTCTTAAGAAAAACTCAAAATATGAGAAATATATATAGAGTTTTTTTTCAAATGTCAAGAGATATTTTACATGAGACACGGGAAAAATTTAAAGATTTACTTAAAAGTGTCCTCATTATGCTATACCCAAGTGACAACTCAATAAAAAAATTTATGATCGATTTAGAACAACATAGAAATATGGTTGACGCTATATGTGGAGGAACTTTTATAAAGAAAACCCCTAATAAAATTTACAGCTTTTATGAGAATTAAGTGAAAATTCTAGAGATCATGTCTCTTTTGAGTTATATGATAGGGATAAGAAGAGAGGAATTTATGAATTACATCATCAAAATGATTCTAATTTAAGAAATGAGGTTAATTAAATTAATCAAAGATTAGAAAACTTGACTTACTTATTGACAATATTAGAAAGCCTCTTAACCTTCAATTTAATTCAAAAAGTACCTGTCTTATGTATGGTGAAAATAATTATTCTAAATTTCAATATTATAATTTAGGTCAATCATTTCACCTTATGCAAGAATAAGTGCAAGTAGCCCACAATTTTAATAGAAATAGGAAGCACTTTTCTAATTCTTATAATCCTAATTGGAGGCATAATTTTTCATAGAGAGACTCAAATAATATTCAAAATTCAGAAGCACTTAGGCCAAATTCATACTTTGAATTTCGTCCAAAATAAGAAAACATATTTCAAAAAAATCAACTTTCTCAAATCTAACTTGATGCTATGAAAATGATGCAGCAAACTTGAATCAAATGATGTTGTAGTAGAAACAAATTATAGAGGCTCTTGGGAATAAGAGAGAAAAGGGACAACTACTTAGTCAACCTATAGAAAATCTAGAGAATTACCCAACAATAGGATTTTAACAAGGGGAGTCTAGTAACATGAATCTAGGAAAAAACACACGAAATGAAAATGTTAAGATAGTGAATATATTAAGAAGTAGGAAGATTTAGCTGATCCTTATCCCCAAATGTTAGAAGGAAAGGAAAACGTGGTCAACCCAAAACAAAATCAAATAGGAGTAGAAGATGATTTATAAATTCTACCAAGGAAATTTCAAAAGAGAAGATAAGCATTCTATTTCCTAAAACTCTAGAGTCTAGACAAAGAAAGAAAAAGGAACATAATGAAGAAATAAAGAAAATTTTATAAGATGTACAAATTAGTCTTCCTTTACTCACTACCATTGAACATGTTCTTGAATATGTTAGAGTTTTGAAAGAAATGTATACACTAAAAAAGGCACTTAGAGTAGAAAAATTATCTATGTATACTAGTGCTTTATTATTAAATTAATTACCATACAAATTGAGAGATACTGGTGCCCCTTTAATTTCGTGTGATATTAGTGGATTCATTTTTTAGAATGCATTACTTGACATAGATGCTAGTATTAATTTATTACTTGTAAGTATTTGTGATAAATTTAATATTATTGATCTTAAACCTTCTATTGTTACCTTAAAATTTGCTGATAGATTCATAAAACATCTTGAAACTAGTTTAGAAAACATGATAGTGACAGTTAAAGGGTGTAAATTTCTAACTAATTTCGTAGTGCAGAAATAGACTTTGATGGACAGTTTTATGATACATCAATCATCCTAGGGAGACCATTTTTGCATATAACAAAGATGAATATTGATTATCCCACAGGTATTACGAAAATTTCATATGGAGATCAATTAGTAAAAATTTAAAATTTTGAGGTATCAAATGATCTTAAAAAATCCCAAGTATATGATTGTCATATCATAGATCTTTTAGATGATTTTCATGATCTAGATGTTATTGATAACTATGTGCTGGAAGAATTAGAGGAAATAGAAAATATAAATCTGGGAGAAAAGAAAGAGGAAGATCATCTGAATTTAGAGTTGAAATCTCTTCCCTCTAGTTTAAAATATATGTTTTTGGAGAAAATAATTCATTTCCTATTATTATTGCAGCTGATTTGAGTGATGAACAGAAAGAAGAATTATTAGATATACTTCAAAAAAATAAAAAGACTATTGGCTAGAAAATGGATGATCTTAGGGGCATTGATATGAGTGTATGCATACATAGCATATATCTAGAGGAGGGGGCTAGAACTAATAGGGAACCACAACGAAGATTAAATCATAACATGATGGAAATTATAAAAAAAGAAACTTTAAAATGACTAGCTACTGATATTATTTATCCTATTTTAGATAGCAAATGAGTCAATCTTACACAAGTGGTGTCAAAAAAATTAGGGATCACTGACAAGTCTTCATTATCATGAGTTAATAATTAGTAAATAATATAGTTTTAGCCTTAACTCATGATAAATAGACTTATATTTGTGTTAAAGTGTGAAAAGTGGTTTTCAATTGATTAATGTGAATTTTTAGGTAATTATGTGATTTTACATGAATTTATATGATTTTTACAGTATTGCTTTTGAGATAAATGAAGAAAAAGAAATAAAAAATAAAAATAAGACAAAATGAGGGGGACCCGCCGGCCAGCCGGGCCCGCAAGCGGGTTGGAAGCTTAGTCAGGGAGTAGCCGCGAGCAGGGGCTCAAACGGCTTGGACCGATAGGGGCATGTGTGCGCCACTCCCCTTCCACGTCACCGGTGGCCAGCTGGCTGTGGGGCAAGGAGTGGTCGTACACGTGAGAGAAGGAACTTTGATTAGAAATGTAACATTACTATATATTCGCCCGAAAAATCGGCGCACAACCGATGTGGGACTAAACCCGCGTCACACCTTCCTCAGAAGGCGCGGACAACCAGCGCGGGTTCGAATCCTCCCAGAGTCAAAAGTCATATATTTTTATCTGATTATCGTGACTTTCCTGCAGATCGCCAGTAAAGGATTAAGCAACGAGAATCGCTGGATCATCAGCGAAAATCTCGTCAACGCGATTCTCGGAGCATTGCTACTAAAATTGTTGAACGATTCGCGATAAAAGGATCGCAAATCCATCGAGTAAATCATCTCTGATTGATCGACGAACAAGCTGTCGTCGGGAAGAGGACGATCCACCGAAAGACGAGTCGCCACCTCCTAAGAGCGTACCAGATGCGATGAAGAGCCTCCTCTTGCTGCGCGGACTTGAGGATGAAGCTCCTTGACATGCACCCCACCTCTATCCAGCTCCTCTCCGTCGGGTGATAACTGCCGGAGAGCCGCAAAGTCGCCGTTTTTCCGCTTCGTCGGGTGACAGCCGCCGGAGACGAGTCGACGACCCATTTCATTAATCTCTAGACTTCGCAAGGAGATCTAGAGATTGCCCACGTCGTCTTTGTCCAAGGAGAGCCTTCGAGGCCGTGGACACTGCATGATGATCCTCCTGAATGCTCAGGATTCCGGTGCATCGCCGACGCATCGCCGTCGCGACGCCGGAACTCTGTTTTCCTGCTTTCAACTTAATTTCCGTTTCATTTAGTGATAATTTGTTGATTTTAAATTTACCAACATATACTTCATTTCATTACGATTCTTCCGTCTTTTACAAATCTTAATTTGATCAATTAAATCATCTTTAATCGCTTACGTAAGAATCGCCGGGCGGAACTCTGTTTCCGCTTGATTCGCGTTCGCGGGGCGCTGACGTCATCCTAATGCCCGCACCCTTATTTCCTTTTTTCGTCAATTTTAAATATATTTCCTTTTCATTTATTAGTATAAAATTCATATAAAATAATATTCTCTGAGGAAAATTCTGAATAATTACTAGATATTATATTACATCCTTGTGATTGACCTGGAGAATTATCGCTATTTTTTGAAGTTTTATTGAATTATAATTGATATATTTGTTCAGAAATACTTCTAAATATCCAAAAATTCGTATTTTTTAGTTTTATAAATTTTATATTTGCGTGATTTAATATACAACGACTAAGTCACATCAATCACGGTTATAAAAATGAAAAGAGATGAAATACAAACAAGATTAACTACTATTGGAGGGTTTGTATTGATTATAGAAAATTAAACTTAGTTACTAGAAAAGATCATTTTCTCCTACCATTTACTGATCAAATTTTAGAAAATTAGTTGGAGTTTTTTTTTCTAGATGGATACTCTAATTATAATTAAATTTATATAAACCCTTTAGATCAAGAAAAAACAACTTTCACTTGTCCATTTGGTACTTTTGCTTTTAAACGCATGCCTTTTGGTCTATGTAATGCTCTAGTCATATTTCAAAGATATATGCTGTCTATTTTTTTCTAATATGATTGAAAAATGTATTAAGTTTTTATGGATGATTTTTTTACTTTTGGTGAATCATTTGATGAATGCATAAATCATTTATAGTATGTACTTGAGAAATGTATAGAGAAAAAAATAGTTTTGAGTTGGGAGAAATCATATTTTATAATTAGAAAGGGAGTTGTGTTGGGCAATATTATGAGTGAAAGGAGTTTAGAGGTGAATAGAGTAAAAATTGATATTATATCTAAAATGAAACCACCGAATTCAGTAAAATAGATTAGATCTTTCTTGAGTCATGCAAGTTATTATAAAAAATTTATTCAAGAGTTTTTGAAAATTTCTAAACCTCTCACCACGTTATTATCTAAAGATGTGTCTTTTAATTTTGATGAAAAATGTTTTGAGTTTTTTTTTAAATAAAAAGATTACTTATTGAGGCACCCATTTTACAAGCTCTTGATTGGTCTCTTCTCTTTGAAACAATGTGTGATGCATTAAATTATAGAGTGAGAGCTGTTCTCAGACAAAGAAAAGAGTCAAAACCCATAGTTATTTCATATGCTAACAAAACTCTATCTAATGCTCAATTAAATTATACCACCACTGAAAAAGAGTTGCTAGTTGTAGTATTTTCATTAGAAAGATTTAGACCATATATTTTGGGAACTAAAATTATTATTTTTACTAATCATACAGTATTAAAATATTTTTTAAATAAGAAGGACGTAAAGCTACGTTTATTAAGATGGATGTTATTATTAGAGAAATTTGACTTAGAAATAAAAGATAAAAAAGGTTTTGAGAATGTTATTGCTGATCATCTTTCTAGATTGAGTGATACAAGAATAAATGCAGCACCTTTACAAGATTTATTTTCAGATGAACAATTGATGACAGCTCAACATCAACTATTGCCATGGTATACACATATTGTTAATTTTCTAGTTTCTAGAAAAATTTCAAAATAGTGAGATAAGAACAAAAAAAGTAATTTCTTTTCTAAGATTAAAAATTATTTTTGGCATGATCCTGATTTATATTATTTGGGTAATGATCAAATTTTAAAGAGATGTGTTCTTGAAGAAGAATATCATAGCATTCTTAACATGTGCCGTTCATCTGTGGAGGACATTTCTCTAGACGAAAAACAGTTACAAATTTTTTTTAGTGTGCTTTTTATTGGTCTACAATCATTAGAGATTCTATAGAAGTTAATAGAAGATGTATTTCATGTCATTCTATAGATAATATGAGTAAAAAAAATAAAATGCCCATGAATAACATGTTAGTAGTTGAAATTTTTGATGTATAAGGTATAGATTTCATGGGTCCCTTCTAATCAGCTGAAAAATATGAGTATATTTTGCCTTGATTATGTGTCTAAGTGGGTGGAAGCTATTCTTACTAGAACTAATGATCATAAAATCATGATGAAATTTGTGCAGGAAAATATTTTTTCAAGATTTGGATGTCCTAGAGTGATTATTAGTGATAGAGGAACACATTTTACAAATAAACATTTTAGAGAATTGTTGAAAAAAAAATAGAGTACATCATAGAGTAGCCACTCTATATCATCCCCAAACAAATGGGCAAGCTAAAGTAGCAATTAGAGACATTCAGAGAATTTTGAGAAAAATAATTAGATCAAATAAGAAAGATTAACCCACAAAATTACAAGATGCATTATGAGCTTATAGAACAACTTATAAAAATCCTATAAGTATGTCCCCATTTTATCTCATTTTTAAAAAGCCATGTCATCTTCCTATGGAATAGAACATAAAGTATTATGGGCTATAAAAAATTTATGTATGGATGAAAAATCAGCTTGTGGGCATAGAATTAGAGGAGTTGAGTAATGAAACTCGTGAAAATCATAAATATATAGAGAAAAAACTTAAACATTTCATGATAAATACATTAGTAGAAAAAAATTGATATTGGACAAAAAGTGTGGTTATATGATTCTAAGCTGAAATTATTCCTAGAAAAATTAAAATCAAAAAAGACAGAGCCTTATGTGGTGGAAGAGACATGATTATGGGGCTGTAATAATTTAAAGATCTTAAAAATGATCATAACCTTAAGGTAAATGGACAGCGGCTTAAACATTACATAGATCATTAACGCCTTGTAAAAAAAGAAATTTTATTATTAAAAGAAATTCAAGAGTATGATTAATGTGTCTAACTGGAGACATTAAATTCAGCATTGCATGAGAGGTAACTCATGGTTTTTATTTCATTCTATTTATTTTTTAAGTTTTATTTCTATTAAAATTTCACAGTACTTATTTTTGTATTTTTTTTTTTCAAAAAAGTGCAAGAAGAAGAGTGTAAGATGAAGTAAAAAATTAAAAACGAAGTTAAGGTGATGTCTTTCTGAGCTTTATCATTTATGACAACATTTTTAATGCTTAACTTTGCATATATGTATGGTTCACTTGAAAATTATATTTTCTGCATATTCTGTTCTGATTTTTCTATGTCATTAAGGACAATGTCATTTTTAAGTTGAGAGGTGAAGTATTAATTCTTAATTTATGCTCTACAATAAAGAACATGTGTTTACATTTGTTTTGATGCTCACTTAAAACAGCAACTAAAAACATTTAGAAAAACTGCAACATTTATTTTCTAGTTTTCTATCAAGAACAATAGATTCTCAAAAACAACAAAGAAAAAAATAACCCCAAATTTAAAAATCTAGAGACCCTTTTCTCACATTTCAATCCCCTAGACATATATTACTAAAATTCGAAATTACAACTATAAAGAAGATAGTTTTGATTTATTTTTGACAAATTTATTGTTGCTGAAAACAAAACTAAAAATAAAAAGTAGAACTGTCAAAACCATCTAATTTACAAATTTCTTACATCATATTGCATGTACGAAAAATTTAATCAATTAGATTGATTGATGCCAAAAGATACTAGGAAAATTATTATTGGGTTAAAAGAATGATTTAATAGCATGAAATGTTGGAATACTCTTTGGATACATGATAGATAACATGGATTTGATTTTACAAATTTTCACTTCATAATCTTGATGGATAGTATTTACTTGATGTGAAAATTTGATTGATCATTTAAGTTTAATGGAGATTTTTGCACCCTGATCTATAGGACTTGATTGACCACCTTTTTGCCTTCTCCCAAGATAGTCCTAGGCATTATTTTATTTCGGGAGAAGGTATCTCTATTGAGAGCTTTAGTTTATATTCAACGTATGTTCCGAAAGATTTCTGATGTGGGACTAAACATTTTCATCTATTTTAGCATAGCCATCTGGAGCACAATGTGATCCAGCAGTACGTAGAGAGCCACGTCTTTTGATTAGCTTAATCCTGCAGCTAGCAAACCACTATAATACTAGATGCATAAAGTGATCCATCAATAGTTCGCGAATCTAACACTACTCAGCATGCACGTGGCCTCAAAGGCTGGTCCGACGACTATGGAGGCGCCATGGTACTAGAACTTAAGTTCTCGATCGACAACGATTCACAGTGGGTTGATCTTGCATCACTTAGAGAGCCATGTGACCAAGCTCATTTGATCCAGTAGTTTGCGGAGCCTTTGATATCGGGAACTTAAGTTCTCACACGTATTACCGTTAGGGATATAAAGGTAATAATTAATTATTGTCTGGTAAAATAGATATTATCGATTATCTTTAAAATCCCAACTGTAGTTGCAAATACGACAATCTGTTCTTCCCTCCTTTTGCACAATCGATGTTTTTGATGATCAGTAAGCTTCTTCCATCCTTCCTCGACTGCACTCAAGGCCTCCGACAAGTGGTCAGCTCTTCCCTTCTCCCCCCAGACGATGGTGATAGTGTGGTCAACCCCTCTTTCGACAAATCTCTCCAACAAGGGGCGTAGTGCTTCTAGACGATACTTTTGTGACTTCTGGCATGGTGTGGCACATTCGAAAGAAACCAAGCCGCCACACTAGTATCTCCAATTGCCCAAAAGGTAGACTAAACTTGGGCAATGATTTATTTCATGTTTTCAGCATTTACTTACTTACTTTTGTCATTTATTTACATTTTACATTAAGTTCTTTTCGTTTCATGCACATTTCGACTGAAATGAGTAAAACTAATTCAAAACTTGATGAATGATCTTCGTTCTTCTTCCGAATCCTCTGAAACTCATCTGAGATCAAGCTAAGATCATTTCTAACTTATTTTCTATTGATTTTCGCAGTTGAATCTCGACATATTCACATTCTTAGCATTCTCTGAATAACAAGTATTGTTTCTATTTTTGAATGTGAAATCACCGAAAGTAAAGGTTGATTAATGAGCGTTCAATAGTTAAAACAAGCGAGAGACATTCACAGTTGACTTCATGTCATGTGTGTGAATCCTCGAGCACACATTCGTTCGAGAAAATAGGTTGACTATATTTCTCTCTTTCTTCATTTTTCATCTTATTTCTCTCTTTCCTTGTCTTGTGAGACCTCTCTTCTCTCTTCATCTCCCATAAGATCTCTCATTTTCTCCCCCTTTCACGAGAGATCTCGTCCCTTCTCTCTCTCCTCTCTCTCTTTCTCTTCCTTTCACAAGAGATCTCATCCCTTCTCTCTCTCTCGTGAGAGCTCTCTCTTCTTTCTCTCTTTTCCTCCTTCCTTTTCTCCACTTCCCTTCCTTTATTCTTCTTACCTTACTGACGTGACTTAGTCGTTGTATATTAAATCACGCAAATATAAAATTTATAAAACTAGAAAATACGACTTTTCAGATATTTCTGAACAAATATATCAATTATAATTCAATAAAACTTTCAAAAATAGCGGTAATTTTCCAAGTCGATCACAGGGATGTAATATAATATACGGTAATTATTTCGAATTTTTTTCAATGAATATGATTTTCTATGAATTTTATACTAGGAAATGAAAAGGAAATATATTTAAAATTCACGAAAAAGGGAAATAAGGGCGCGGACGTCAAGATGACGTTAGCACCCGGCGAACGCGAATCGGGCGGAAACAGAGTTCCGCCCGGTGATTCTTACGTAAGCGATTACAGATGATTTAATTAATCAAATTAAGATCTGTAAAAGCCGGAAGAATCGTAATAGAACAAAGTATATTTTGGTAAATTAAAATCACAAAAACTATCACTAAATGAAGCGTAAAGTAAGTTGAAAGCAGGAAAACAGAGTTCCGGCATCGCGACGGCGATGCGTCGGCGATGCACTGGAATCCTGAGCGTTCGGGAGGATCGTCATGCAGTGTCCACGGCCTCAAAGGCTCTCTTTGGACAAAGACGACGTGGGCAATCTCTAGATCTTCTCACGAAGTCTAGAGATTAATGGAATGGGTCATCGAGTCGTCTCCGGTTGCTTAATCCTTCACCGACGATCTGTAGGAAAGTCGCGATAATCAGATAAAAATATATGAATTTTGACTCTGGGAGGATTCGAACCCGCGCCGGTTGTCTGCCCCTTCTGAGGAAGGTGTGACGCGGGTTTAGTCCCACATCGGTTGTGTGCCGATTCTTCTGGCGAATATATAGTAATGTTAGCTTTCTCGCGTGTACGAGCACTCCTTGCCCCACAGCCGGCTAGCCACCGGTGACGTGGAAGGGGAGTGGCGCACATGTGCCCCTATCGGTCCAAGCCGCTCGAGCCCCTGCTCGCGGCTACTCCCCGACTAAGCTTCCGACCCACTTGCGGGCCCGGCTGGCCGGCGGGTCCCCCCCTCATTTTGTCTTATTTTTATTTCTTTTTCTTCATTTATCTCAAAAGCAAGACTGTTAAAATCATATAAATTCATGTAAAATCACATAATTACCTTAAAATTCACATTAATCAACTGAAAACCACTTTTCACACTTTAACACAAATATAAGTCTATTGATCATGAGTTAAGGGTAAAACTATATTATTTACTAATTATTAACTCATGATAATGAAGACCTATCACACCCCCCAACTTAAATCATTGTTAGTCCCTTAGCAATGGAATTATGAAAATAAAAATTTACAAATCTCAAACATCATATTTCAATACAGAAAGAAAAAAGTACAATTAGAAATGATGCACCTTTAGACACTTTGGATTCTTATATCAAGTATTTAAGAATGATGTCAAGCACTTAAATGTTTAAACACTCTTTGGAATAACAATCTAGACTTCACTTCTTCTATTCACATTTTTATCACTTCTTCACTCATAGATGTATTTACAAGATGTTCCAATTATCAATACTCATCCAAGAATAATATTGATCCTACATTTCCCTTTTTGAAGTTTTTTGAAGTTTGCATTATATTTCTTCTGTCTTTATATATAGTTGATAAGTAGCTTTTCCTATAAATAAATTTCGACAATAAGAATGATGTCTCACACCCTCCATGTGTACTCTTCATTTTCAGGGCTTCCACTTTATCCACTTATTTTGCAGCAAGTGTTTTTCTATACACGATTTTCGACAATGCGAATGATGTCTCACACCCTCTATGTGTACTCTTCGTTTCTAGATTTTTCACATTGCTCTCTCTTTTTTTTATTTCGAAATAAGTAATTTCTCCTCACAAGTCCTATAGATCAGGATGCAAAAATCTCCATTAAACTCAAATGATCAATCTAATTTTCACATCAAGTAAATATTATCCATCAAGATCATGAAGTGAAAATCTGTAAAATCAAATCCATGTTATCTATCATGTATCTAAAGAGTATTCCAACATTTCATGCTACTAGATCATTCTTTTGACTCAATAATAATCTTCCTACTAGATCATTCTTTTGACTCAATAATAATCTTCTTGTAAGAAATTTGTAAATTAGATAGTTCTAACAGTTCTGTTTTCTGTTTTCAGTTCTATTTTAGCAGCAATAAATTTGTCAAAAATAAATCAAAACTATCTTCTTTATAGCTGTAATTTCGAATTTCAGTAATATAGGTCTAGGGGATTGAAATGTGATAAAAGGGTCTCTATAATTTCAAATTTCGGGTTGTTTTTTCGTCTGCTAATTTTGACAGTCTGTTGTTCCTGACAGAAAACCAGAAAATAGATGTTGCAGTTTTTTCGAATTTTTCTTTTTTTTTATTTTTTAGTTTCGGTTCTAAGTTGAATAAAATGCAAACACATGTTCTTAATGAGTCCTTCACCCCCAACTTAAAAATGACATTGTCCTCAATGACACAGAAAAATCGAAACAGAATATGCAGAAAATATAATTTTCACGTGAAGCATGCATATATGCAAAGTTAAGCATTAAAAATGTTGTCATAAATGATAAAGCTCCGAAAGACATCACCTCAACCTCGTTTTTAATTTTCCACTTCATCTTACACTTTTTCGAAAAAACAAATACAGAAACAAGTACTGCGAAATTCTAAGAAAAATAGAGCTTAAAAAAATCAAACAGAATGAAATAAAAACCATGGGTTGCCTCCCATGCAGCGCTGAATTTAATGTCTCCAGCTGGACTCCTTGGTCTTACTCTTGAATTTCTTTTAATAATAAAATTTCTTTTTCTGCAAGGCGTTCATGTTCTATGTAATGTTTAAGCTGCTGTCCATTTACCTTGAAGTTATGATCACTTTTAGGATCTTTAATCATTACAGCCCCATGATCATATGTCTCTTCCACCACATAAAGCCCTTTCCATTTTGATTTTAATTTTCCTGAGAATAATTTCAGCCTAGAATCATATAACCACACTTTTTGTCCAACATCAAATTTTTTTCTGCTAATGTATTTATCATGAAAAGTTTTAGTTTTTTCTTTATATATTCTATGATTTTCATAAGCTTCATTCCTCAACTCCTCTAGTTCATGTAGCTGAAAAATTCTATGCCCACTAGCTGATTTCTCATCCATACATAAATTTTTAATAGCCCATAATGCTTTATGCTCTATTTCCACAAGAAGATGACATGGCTTTCCAAAAATGAGACGAAATGGGGACATACCTATGGGATTTTTATAAGCTGTTCTATAGGCCCATAATGCATCTTGTAATTTCGTGGGCCAATCTTTCCTATCTGGTCTAACTATTTTTCTCAAAATTCTCTGAATTTCCCTATTTGCTACTTCAGCTTGCCCATTTGTTTGGGGATGATATGGAGTGACTACTCTATGGTGTACTCCATTCTTTTTCAACAGTTCCCTGAAAGGTTTATTCGTAAAATGTGTTCCTCCATCACTAATAATCACTCTAGGACATCCAAATCTCGAAAAAATATTTTCCTACACAAATTTCATCACGATTTTATGATCATTAGTTCTAGTAGGAATAGCTTCCACCCACTTCGACACATAATCAACAGCAAGCAAAATATATTCATATTTTTCAGCTGATGGGAAGGGACCCATGAAATCTATTCCCCATACATCAAAAATTTCGACTATTGACATGTTACTCATGGGCATTTTATCTTTTTTACTCATGTTACCTATAGATTGGCATGAAATACATGTTCTACTAAATTCTATAGAATCTCTAATGATTGTAGGCCAATAAAAACCACACTGAAAAATTTTTGCAGCTGTTTTTCGTCCAGAGAAATGTACTCCACAGTTAGATGAATGGCACATGTTAATAATGCTATGATATTCTTCTTCAGGAACACATCTCCTTAAAATTTGATCATTGCCCAAGTAATATGAATCAGGATCATGCCAAAAATAATTTCTAATCTTAGAAAAGAAATGATGTTTTCTGTTCTTTTCCCACTGTTCTAGAGTTTTTCCAGAAACCAGAAAATTAACAATATGTGCATACCATAGTGATGGTTGATGTTGAGCTGCCATCAATTGTTCATCTGAAAATGCGTCTTGTAAAGGTGCTGCATTTATTCCTGTATCACTTAATCTAGAAAGATGGTCAGCAACAACATTCTCGAAACCTTTTTTATCTTTTATTTCTAAGTCAAATTCTTGCAACAATAAAATCCATCTTAATAAACATGGCTTTGCATCTTTCTTAGTTAACAGATAATTTAATGCTGCATGATCAGTATAAATAATAATTTTAGCTCCCAAAATATATGATCTAAACCTTTCTAACGAAAATACTACAGCTAACAACTCTTTTTCAGTCGTGATATAATTTAATTGAGCATCGGATATAGTTTTACTAGCATATGAAATTACTCTTTTGTTTGTCCTAGAACAGCCCCCACTGCATAATTCGATGCATCACACATTATTTCAAAGGGAAGGGACCAATCAGGAGCTTGTAAAATGGGTGCCTCAGTAAGTAATCTTTTTATTTCGGAAAAAGACTCAAAACATTTCTCATCAAAATTAAAAGACACATCTTTAGATAATAGCATGGTGAGAGGTTTACAAATTTTCGAAAAATCTTGAATAAATTTTCTGTAATAACCTGCATGACCCAAGAAAGATCTAATCTGTTTTACTGAATTTGGAGGTTTCATTTTAGATATAATATCAATTTTTACTCTATCCACCTCTAAACCCCTTTCACTCACAATATGACCCAACACAACTCCCTCTTTAACCATAAAATGTGATTTCTCCCAACTCAAAACTAATTTTTTCTCTATGCATTTCTCAAGTACATGTTGTAAATGATTTAAACATTCATCAAATGATTCACCAAAAACAGAAAAATCATCCATAAAAATTTCCACGTATTTTCCAATCATATCAGAAAAAATAGACAGCATACATCTTTGAAATGTGGCTGGAGCATTACACAGACCAAAAGGCATGCGTTTAAAAGCAAAAGTACCAAATGGACAAGTGAAAGTTGTTTTTTCTTGATCTAAAGGGTTTATATAAATTTGATTATAACCAGAGTATCCATCCAGAAAACAAAAAAAGTTTTTTCCAGCTAATTTTTCTAGAATTTGATTAGTAATTGGTAGGGGAAAATGATCTTTTCTAGTAACTGAATTTAATTTTCTATAATCAATGCAAACTCTCCAACTAGTAGTTAGTCTTGTTTGTATTTCATCCCCATTTTTGTTTTTCATAACCGTGATCCCTGATTTTTTTGGCACTACTTGTGTAGGACTAACCCATTTGCTATCTGAAATAGGATAAATAATATCAGCAGCCAGCCACTTTAAAATTTCTTTTTTTACAATTTCCATCATATTTGCATTTAATCTTCGTTGTGGTTCCCTGCTAGTTCTAGCCCCCTCCTCTAAATATATACTATGCATGCATACACTCATATCAATGCCTCTTAGATCGTCCATTTTCTAACCCATAGCCTTCTTATTTTTTCGAAGTACATCTAATAATTCTTCTTCCTGTTCATCACTCAAATCAGCTGCAATAATAATAGAAAATGAATTATTTTCCTCCAAAAACATATATTTTAAACTAGAGGGAAGAGGTTTCAACTCTAAATTCAGATGATCTTCCTCTTTCTTTTCTCTCAAATTTCTATTCTCTATTTCCTCTAATTCTTCCAGCACACAGTCATCAATAACATCTGGATCGTCAAAATCATCTAGAAGATCTATGGTATGACAATCATATACTTGTGATTTCTTAAGATCATTTGGTACCTCAAAAATTTTAATTTCTACTGATTGATCTCCACATAAAATTTTTGCAATACTTGTGGGAAAATTGATGTGACTCAGTCGTTGTATATTAAATCACGTAAATATAAAATTTATAAAACTAGAAAATATGAATTTTTGGATATTTCGAAGTATTTCTGAATAAATATATCACTTATAATTCAATAAAACTTCCAAAAATAGCGGTAATTTTCTAGGTCGATCACAGGGATGTAATATAATATCTGATAATTATTCAGAATTTTTCTCAATGAATACGATTTTCTATGAATTTTATACTAGGAAATGAAAAGGAAATATATTCAAAATTCACGAAAAAGAAGGAAATAATGGCACGGAAATCAGGATGATGTCAGCGCCCGGCGAACGCGAATCGGGTAGAAATAGAGTTCCGCCCGGCGATTCTTACGTAAGCAATTACAGACGATTTAATTAATCAAATTAAGAACTGTAAAAGCCGGAACAATCGTAGTAGAACAAAGTATATTTTGGTAAATTAAAATCACACAAAGTGTCACTAAATGAAGCGTAAATTAACTTGAAAGCAGGAAAACAGAGTTCCGGCGTCGTGACAGCGATGCGTCCGCGATGCACCGGAATCCTGAGTGTTCGGGAGGATCGTCGTGCAGTGTCCACGGCCTCGAAGGCTCTCCTTGGACAAAGATGACGTGGGCAATCTCTAGATCTTCTCGCGAAGTCTAGAGATCAATGAAGTGGGTCGTCGAATCGTCTCTAGCGGCTGTCACCCGGCGGAGCGGAAAAACGGCGACTTTGCGGCTCTCCGGCGGCTGTCACCCGACGGAGAGGAGCTGGATGGAGGTGGGGCGCGTGTCAGGGAGCTTCATCCTCAGGTCCGCGCAGCAAGAGGAGGCTCTTCATCGCATCTGGTACGCTCTCAGGAGGTGGCGACTCGTCTCGTAGCGGATCGTCCTCTTCCCGACGACGGCTTGTTCATTGATCAATCGGAGATCCTTAACTCGATGGATTCGCGATCCTTTTATCGCGAATCGTTCAGCAATTTTAGTAGCAATGCTCCGCAAATCGTGTTGACGAGATTTTCGTTGATGATCTAGCGATTCTCGTTGCTTAATCCTTCACCGGCGATCTACAGGAAAGTCGCGATAATCAGATAAAAATATATGAATTTTGACTCTGGGAGGATTCGAACCCGCGCCGGTTGCGCCGGTTGTCCGCCCCTTCTGAGGAAGGTGTGACGCGGGTTTAGTCCCACATCGGTTGTGTGCCGATTTTTCAGGCGAATATATAGTAATCTTAGCTTTGTAAGCAAAGTCCTTTCTCTCGCATGTACGACCACTCCTTGCCCCACAACCTAAATATAAGTCTATTTATCACGAGTTAAGCCTAAAACTATATTATTTACTAATTATTAACTCATGATAATGAAGACTTATCAAAAATCAATATTCATCTTTGCTGTATGCAAAAATGGTCTCCCTAGGATGATTGGTGTATCATAAAACTGTCTATTAAAATCCATTTCCAGCACTACAAAATCAGCTGGAAATTTACACCCTTTCACTATTACTATCACATTTTCTAAAATACCTTTAAGATGTTTTATGGATCTATCAGCAAATTGTAAGGTAACAGTAGAAGGTTTAAGATCAGAAATATTAAATTTATCACAAATACTTGCAGGTAATAAATTAATACTAGCACCGGTGTCAAGTAATGCATTCTGAAAAATGAATCCACCAATATCACACGAAATTAAAGGGGCACCTATATCTCTCAATTTATATGATAATTGATTTAATAATAATGCACTAGCATGCATAGATAATTTTTCTACTCTAGGTGCCCTTTTTTGTGTACACATTTCTTTTAAAACTCTAGCATATTCAAGAATATGTTCAATGGCAGTGAGTAAAGGAAGACTAGTTTGCATATCTTGTAAAATTTTCTTTATTTCTTCTTTGTGTTCCTTTTTCTTTCTTTGTCTAGGCTCTAGAGCATTAGGAAATGGAATGGTTGTCCTCTCTTTCGAAATTTCCTTAGTAGAATCTATAAAATCCTCTTCTACTCCTATTTGATTTTGTTTTGGGTTGTCCACGTTTTCTTTTTCTTCTAATGTTTGGGGATAAGGATCAGGTAAGATCTTACCACTCCTTAATGCATTCACTGTCCTAACATTTTCATTTCGTGGGTTTTTTCCTAGATTCATGCTACTAGACTCCCCTTGCTGAAATCCTATTGTTGGGCAGTTCCCTGGATTTTTTATGGGCTGACTAGGTAGCTGTCCCTCTTCTCTCTTATTCCCAAGAGCCTCTATAATTTGTTTCTGGTGCTGCATCATTTGATTCATAGTTTGTTGCATCATTTGATTCATAGTTTGTTGCATCATTTGGCTCATTTGCTGCATCATTTCCATAGTATCAAGTTTGGTTTGAGAGGACTGATTTTTCTGAAATCTGTTTTCTTGTTTTGGACGAAATTCAGAGTTTGAATTAGGTCTAAGTGCGTTTGGATTTTGAAAAATTATTTGGGTCTCTCCATGAAAAATTATTCCTCCAATTAGGATTATAAGAATTTGAAAAAGGTTCCCTGTTTCTATTAAAACCGTGAGCTACTTGCACTTGTTCTTGCATAGGGTGAAATAATTGATCTAAATTATAACATTGAAATTCAAAATAATCATTTTCACCATACATAGGACATGTACTATTCGAATTAAGTTGAGGGTTAAAAGGCTTTCTAATATTGTCAATAAGTAAATCAATTTTTTCTAATCTTTGATTAATCTAATTAACCTCATTTCTAAATTTAGAATCATCATCATGATGCAATTCATAAATTCCTCTCTTCTTATCCCTGTCATATAATTCAAAAGAGGCTTGATCTCTAGAATTTTCACTTAAATTCTCATAAAGACTGTAAATCTCATCAGGAGTTTTCTCTATAAAGCTCCTCCACATATAGGATCAACCATATTTCTATGTTGTTCTAATAATCCATCATAAAAAATTCTATTGAGCTGCCACTTGGGTATAGCATGATGAAGACACTTTCTAAGTAAATCTTTAAATTTTTCCCATGTGTCATGCAAAGTTTCTCCTGGTCTTTGAGAAAAACTCCATATATGTTTTCTCATATTTTGAGTTTTTCCTAAGGGATAAATTTTTTAAAGAAAGGCCTATTCTAGATCTTTCCAACTAGTTAATTCTCTATCTAATGTGGATAGCCAATGACTAGCTTTGTCCCTAAGTATATGAGGGAATAATTTCATCTTAACTAATTTCCGGTGTAATTTTTCTAAGTGCTGATGAGGTTCCTCTAAAGGCAATCCATGAAAGTTAGGGAGCATTTGAAAAAAAATTGGATTTATTTCGAATTTAACAGTGGGTGCTAATGGGACTCTAATATTGGATGCTCTTTGAAATGAATCATGGAAATAATAATTTTTCATGGCCATAGGATTGTTCTCAGTTTGACCTGTACTTCCTTCAGGATCTATCAAAATTAATTTTTCTTTCGGATCTTTATTTTTGAATGAAATAATGAAAGGATTTTCTAGCCTTGGATGCAAAGATCTTCTACCATGCATAAAAACAAATCAATAAATTCGAGGGAAAAGTTTAGTAATTGTTACCCTCCTTCAGTATGCTCGAGTCCTTGCCTTGTTTCTTTTGGTTCCCTTTTTCTAAAAAAAATTGGCAAGAAAATAAAATAAGAGTTAATTTTTTTTTTGTGTACTCTAAGTAAAAAATTGAAAAATACTAAATATTATGCAATACATCCCCGGCAACAATGCCAAAATTTGACGTGACTTAGTCGTTGTATATTAAATCACGCAAATATAAAATTTATAAAACTAGAAAATACGACTTTTCAGATATTTAGAAGTATTTCTAAACAAATATATCAATTATAATTCAATAAAACTTCCAAAAATAGCGGTAATTTTCCAGGTCGATCACAAGGATGTAAAATATATGGTAATTATTCCGAATTTTTCTCAATGAATACGATTTTCTATGAATTTTATACTAGGAAATGAAAAGGAAATATATTTAAAATTCACGAAAAAGGGAAATAAGGGCGCGGACGTCAGGATGACGTCAGCACCCGGCGAACGCGAATCGGGCGGAAACAGAGTTCCACCCGGCGATTCTTATGTAAGCGATTACAGATGATTTAATTAATCAAATTAAGAACTGTAAAAGCCGGAAGAATCGTAATAGAACAAAGTATATTTTGGTAAATTAAAAACATAAAAATTAATCACCAAATGAAGCTTAAAGTAAGTTTGAAAGCAGGGAAACAAAGTTCCGGCGTCGCGACGACGATGAGTCGGCGATGCACTAGAATCCTGAGCATTCGGGAGGATCGTCGTGCAGTGTCCACGGCCTCGAAGGCTCTCCTTCGACAAAGACGACGTGGGCAATCTCTAGATCTTCTCACGAAGTCTAGAAACTAATGAAATGGGTCGCCGAGTCGTCTCCGGCGGCTGTCACCCAGCGGAGCGAAAAAACGACGACTTTGCGGCTCTCCGGCGGCTGTCATCCGACGGAGAGGAGCTGGATGGAGGTGGGGCGTGTGTCAGGGAGCTTCATCCTTAGGTCCGCGCAGCAAGAGGAGGCTCTTCATCACATCTGGTATGCTCTCAGGAGGTGGCGACTCGTCTCCCGACGGATCATCCTCTTCCCAACGACGGCTTGTTCATCGATCAATCGGAGATCCTTTACTCGATGGATTCACGATCCTTTTATCACGAATCCTTCAGCAATTTTAGTAGCAATGCTTCGCAAATCGTGTTGACGAGATTTTCGTTGATGATCTAGCGATTCTCGTTGCTTAATCCTTCACCGGCGATCTGTAGGAAAGTCGCGATAATCAGATAAAAATATGTGAATTTTGACTCTGGGAGGATTCGAACCTGCGCCAGTTGTCTGCCCCTTCTGAGGAAGGTGTGACGCGGGTTTAGTCCCACATCGGTTGTGCGCCGATTTTTCAGGCGAATATATAGTAATGTTAGCTTTGTAAGCAAAGTCCCTTCTCTCGCGTGTACGACCACTCTTTGCCCCACAGCCGGCTAGCCACCGGTGACGTGGAAGGGGAGTGGCACACATGTGCCCCTATCAGTCCAAGCCGCTCGAGCCCCTGCTTGCGGCTACTCCCCGACAGTAGATGCTGCTTCAACCAATCTAACAATCTTAGGGGCACAAGAAAAAACGTCATCTTTAATATTGAATCAGCTAGGATCAATCACATTTAGCCCAGAGAGTGAGAATATTGAAAATACTTACGCGTGATTATTAAACACCTGATTTATATAGACCTACTTTGCAGTTTATTCCTGTTACTTTATCATTGCTTCCTGAATTTCCTGGGTTAGCTAATGACAAATTACATCAACATATTCTTTGATTTTTAGTTGCTTGTGAACATTTTCATATGCTTAATAATACTCTAGAGATTGGGTCAAATATTTACCGCATGAGATCACCACATGGTTAGAGGTAGAGCAAGGATTTTTGAGAAAATTGTATCACATTGGCAAGAAATGCTATGCAGATAGGTGTTGTTTAACTTACTCAAAAATCGGGAGAAGCATTTTATGAATCTTCGCAAAAACTTAAGCAACTTTAAATCTTATTATGAAATTGCCAAGTGGCAATGAAATCGCGCAATCGTGTAATTTATCGGGAGAAGCTTATATTATGGAATTGCCAAGTGGAAATAAAATCATGTATTTTATCGGGAGAAGCTTATATTATGGAATTGCCAAGTGGTAATTAAATCGTGTATTTTAAGATTGTCTATCTGTACAGCATTAGAACACTATAGATGCAGCGTGTGGAGACATCAATCTTTTGATTTATACGAAAAATTTGAGTGAGAATTCAGCTGAACATAAATCTTTTGATTTATATGATCAGAACAATAGTAAAAATAAAAGAGGATTTTTTAAGGGTAGAAATCATGATGTATTAGACAACATTATGAAAAGTTAAATATTTTATATCATCATATGCTGCATAAAAAGGAACCTACACAGCCTACACAAGATTCATATTCTAGATGTTCATCACGTGTTAAGACTGATCATTATGAATGTCAATGACCAAACTTAGATCAAGAGCATGCACATGAATTTCATAATCATAGGAATCAATCAAATCCTCATTGAAAAAATCAGAATAATTTTTAAAATTTTTAAAATCACGGTATAAATCCTCATTCATTTCCTAGACGTAATCATACATTTGGACCTCCTCATCAACCACAATATAATGCCAAGCCTTCTTTTTATATTAATACTCATAATTTCATCCCTTCTTCTTGAAGTTAAGTCCCTAATTTTAGCTGAGAATATCTTAATTCAGAGCAAAATCAACCTGATACGAATCATAATTCACATTTTGCGTTAGTAGGAATTATTAAGTTCGATGTCATGAGGTTGAAATTGTGTAAAAATTATTGGAAGCTAGACATTCTTAGTATTAGGAATCCTAAGTAGTTGATCAATTTGTCTTA